TCACGGGAAGTCCAAATTGTTGTACCAGGAGGCCTGCCGCATAGTAACAGCTGTAGCCATCGATCTTGTGGCTGTGTCTGCTGCATTGAGCGCAGCTTGCAGCACTGTACGTAAAATTGTTTGCACCTCAGACAATGGCTTTGAAATGTACTTTTTTGCTTTCTGGCAGATCATCAATAAATGCGTTCATTTTCATGTAATTGTTGTAATCGTATTTACTAAGTAGGGCTGAATAATTCGCTACCTTCACCTGAAGTGTGGCTGAAGCACACACTCTTTTGCCAAACGCTTCTAATCTCTTGTTCTCCTTGTCAGATGGGGTTGAGCGATTTTGCTGCTTGTTTCTCTGTTGTGCAGCATCCACCACCAGGGAATTATGGGGGGATGTGCGAAGAGAAATTCGGATCCCTTGGGTGGCACAAAATACTTTCAGTCTGCCTTTCTGCTTATAGGGGGAAATTGAGGCAGGTGTCTGCCATAAAGTTTTTGCAGATTGAAGAATGGCTGGATTGATAGGAAGAGCAATTTTTGTTGATGAGCTGGATTGTAGGATGTTAGTGAGCTCGTGGGGAGTATCTTGTACTTCCTCCACAGGGATATTTAGGCCCTGTGCAACCTGTTTAAATAAGTCTTTAAAAGAGGAAATGTCCTCCGCGGTGTTAGCGGAAGGAGGTAGAATTGATTTCCCTGTATCAGCTAATGAAGCTGTGTGAGCCAAAGATCCCGTCGCTGACATAGGGGAATATTGGCTGTCATTATCACTCCTCCTAGTGTGTCTGTGAGGAGATTTAGTAGAGCATGAAAGAGGCTTATCTATATGCTTAGTTTTACATGGTCTCTTTCTGTGCAGTGGTGTCACATTTGCCACTGAGGGGGTTATGCCACAGGCGGGGGCATCCACAGATAGGGAGCCCAGGGAGCCATTTGCACTTTGAGAAGGTCTGGTTGCATGAGACTGTGTGTTCCCAGTGACCCTTCTGGATGAGAGGTTCGAAATCCTCTCCCCACAACTGTCCCTTCTCACGCTTCTTGTACACTGAATGTACGTATCTTCACTCAAAATAGCGGAGTGAAGAGTTGAATCAATCTGAAAGTCTTTATTCTCCCTGCAGGTGACCAGGGGAGTTTATGATGCAGGGGGCTGCGCTAGCTGAAAGGAGCCTGTATTTACTGCAGAGCTGAGAGGGAGAGCTACAGCCCCTAATAGTTGAGAGGAAGGGGCGGCATTCACTGAATGCTCTATCCTTTCTCAAGGTGTCGTCATGAGAGACTGAGGAACGGTAGAGCTGCAATAACGGTCAGCGTTCCCGGGGTTTCTGAGGCTGGCACGGAATGGCATGTTGCCTCAGTAAGTGCAGCATGTGAAGCGCTTTCTGGCTTATTACACTGTTTGCCCAAAGTACCTGGGTGGTCAAACATACTCAGATGGTTCTTATCTACTTTTTTACCTCAGAATGCCTCTTGGTGGGTTGCTGAAGTAATGAGCTTGCCCTTTTCTTAAAGGGCTTAAGGTTATCCTTGTTGGATTAAGAGCTCTGCCCAGAGCCTGGGTCAGAGGAAGTTGCTGTTGTCATTGAGGAGCCTTTTCAATTTGAGCTCCTTATTTCTGTGCGACATTGGTTCCATGTGCAGCCGGGGATGGTAGAAAAGAGCTGAAGGGAGGTGGGGGCTGTGAATGCGCATAGCTAGCGAGGGAGCCCACGCGCTTCGTGCGCCATGCATACTCGGCCTCCTCCAAGACACTGCTGAAGAAACTCCATCCAGAGGTTCTGGGACGCTCTACACCTCATGTGGTGGAGCACCCCCAGGGATGCCTCTCGAAGGAGAAACAAGGATATAAATGATTCCATATTTTTCATACATATACACCCCACACACTTCAACACACATCAGATTTGTGTGCTGTCTCCTGAGTTTACAAAACTGGGCTGAAATATCTCTTGAGAATACTTTCTAGTACTTCCTGTCAGGCCACAAATACCATCAGGACCAGCTTGTCTCATGAAATTTCATCTGTTTCATTCCCATGTGGGCATGGGAAGGACAAAGGTACTTGCAAGGTAGATACAGGTAAACGGAAGAGTTCACCGCTAATCAAAATTCAAAAATTTTGCCTGTGACAGGACAGTTCCTCTTTTTAGATTGCAAGCAGTTTGTAGCCCTTCTTCTGATAAGTGCTCCATGTGGCTTCCTTCCCTAACCCCTTTTTAGACTCATGCAGCCCCATTTTTACACTTTGGCCATGGAGAGGAGGGGCAGGAATAGAAGGTAACTTTCCCCAGGTACCTCTGGGCCCTGCTTCTGTAAGTGCCTTCACACAATTTGAACTTTCTTCCTCGGCTTCCTGTGTCTTTTCTTCCTTCTGCCTAATGAGCTAATTAGCCTCTTCGCTCTCCTTAGCCCAACCTGTTCCATCAGTAAGGCACAGCTCTTCTTAATCAAGGCTACTCTAGTGCAATTATGGTTGCAGGGACCAGAGCACTGAATCAGCTACTGTTGCCCAGCCCTCTGTCTCATTGATTTGTTGGGGAGAGGGGCTGGAGGAAGGGGAGGTAATTCCGCTGCCCCTTTGATTAGCCATCATTAGTCAAGACTTTGGTGGAAATTAGTATTCACCAATGAGTAACTGTCTGAGTTAAAGAGTGGTAAGCCCCAGAAATGAGCAGGCTCTGATCTTTTCTGGTGAAACACACTAATTGCAAAGATACAATTCAGTTCACTTGTCATTTGTGGAATTTACAAACAAAAATGTTAACACATTATCTGAAGCTTAATTCCCAGTAATACTAAGAATTTATACATGACCTACTTGAATGAGTTCTGACTTGAGTGAAAAATAACTCATTCTGATGGAGCCATACAAATGCCAAAAGTAAACTAGTTGAGCTGCTCAAAGAAACTACCACCCTGAAGTTTTGCGTATGATCCAGATCAGACATGTAAACAGTCTAAAAGAGGAGGAAGGAAATATCTAGTATAAACTATAAGAAGAGACATTTGTGGCCGAAAACACACAAAAACAAGTGTTTCTCAGAAGTTCTCTCCCAAAAAAAGTGATAAATAGGTGTTCAGATGTAAGGATTGGAGTCTGGCCGTTTCTGATTACCCTCAGAATAGACAATAGACAACGTTTTCATAAAGTTTATAACACAACACCTAACAATTAAAGCTCATGCTCCAGGGATAGCACACATTATCAACAAGGGAGCGTTATCAACATAGGGATACTAACAACTAATTTCGCCTTACACTCCATGATTGAGCTCCTAAAAGTCAGGGCTTTTTCCAGCCTCCTTCTGTCCTGTGTGGCCAGCCTCCTTCTGGTACCAGCACTCTGAGGATGAGCTTCCACCAGGTTGCCCAGTTCTGGGGTAGCAAATACTTTGATGCAAATACCACATACAAAATTGTCATATGACATCATTATGTCCTAAGAATGGGTGTGCAGAACTCAGACTCTTCAGACTTTGTTCTGCTGATAAGAACCTGCTCCCAATCAGGGATTTTTCCTCAAACCTTTCAATGAGTCCTAGCGGAAACATAGGACTGTCAGAATTCAAATGATACATTCACTTAATTTGTCATTTACTCATAACTAAGCAAAGACAATGCCGAGTCTGAAGGCACTCTCCAACAGAGTTCTGACTCCTGATGTGCACATTCACGCTCTGTAATTCTGTTCATATTTGCACATATACACAAAGATATGGCAAGATCTGACTGTCTGAATCATTAGCATATTGGAACAGCATGGAGAATAACACCACACGGAAACTACTTCTAGACTGCAAGCGTCTTTCAGGGGGTTGTGCCACGGTAACCCACACACCTAGGGCGGTTACTGAGCAATGCAAGTGGTACTTAGACCACAGCAACAGTTAAGATCAAGAGACCTCTACAGCATGGGCTGGGAGCCAGATGGCTTTTAGCTCAGAGGGTAGAGGCTCCTATACTCAGCTCTAGAGGTCCCACATTCAAATCTGCCTGCAGGCAGTTACACCATCTTGCCATCTCATCCTTACACTGCCCTGCTGGGGAGGTGGCCTCATAGAGGGTGGCTCCTGGGGTGTTTGAGGGGGGAAGAGAGAGAGGCAGGCACCTCCCAAGGGCTCGGGCACTCCCTCTCTCATTCTTTATTTTGTGTGTTTGTCTCCTTCTGCAGGTTGTGAGGGCCATCAACGCTATCCTGCTGCACAGGGTCATCTGCCTGGGAGACTTGGACCCAATCGTCACAGGATTTGCCGCCCTGGGGTTCCCCAACTGCGAGGGAGTGAATGATGGAACCCACATCCCAATCCATGCACCATTACATCGAGCTGCCCAATACATCAACCACAAGAGCTATTTCTCGATGATGCTGCAGGCTCTGGTTGATCACCATGGACAGTTCATGGACATTTTCGTCGGGTGGTCAGGAAGGGCACATGGCACCTGCATTTTCAGAAACTCTAGCCTCTACCAGAAGCTGGAGGCTGGCACATTCTTCTCCCAGTGTGACTTTCATGTGGGGAACTTGCAGATGCCACTGTGCATCATCCGGGATGCAGCCTACCCTCTAATTCTATGGCTCATGAAGTCCTACCACAGCCACCTGGACCCCAGCAGGGACCAATTCAATGACCAGATGGAGTGCACCTTTGGATGCTTGAAGGCACAGTTCAGGTGACTCCTGACCCACTTCGACATGGGGGAGCACAACATCCCTGAGGTGGCGTCAACATCAGGAAGAGGAAGGGGGAGACTTTCCTAGTGGGGTGGGGGGCAGAGGCCAGCCAGGAGTGAAGGGGTCAGACGTGTGTGTGGCCTCCCAAGAGCCTGTGAGCAGGAGTCCGGGGGTGCTCTAGGGCTACCTCGTGAGGCCAGATGGCACAGACTGGCACTGAATGTGATCCCACGTGCACGGACTGCAGCATGATGTCCAGGCTGAGCAACAATCGCACCCCATCTCCTTTGCACTCGCCTCCCCCGCCCTGTGAATATGGAACACTGAGAGCACTCACCTGATGATCCCTCTCCATCCTCAGAGGATGCCTGCAAGACATTTAGGGCCTGGGATACCAGCTCCAGGGTCAGGATGACTGTGCTGGCTGTGTCTTCCTCCTCCTGCAGCTGCTGTTAATCCTTCTCCTCTTCAGCAGGGAGCTCTGGGTGGGGGGCAATAGGTGTCTGTAGCCCTGAGTGGGGAAAAGGGATTCACCAGGATTTGGTGGAGCTCCTGATAGTAGGGTAGTAGTGCGGTTCTGCCCCGGAGCGCTTCGTGACCCAACCCTGATGGAGCGCTTTAACCTTGCTCTGCACCTGTTCTAATGTCCAGGGGACATTTCCAGTTGTGTTGATCTACTCCCCTCCCCCCACCCGACTTCTCTTGAATACCCCTAAAGGTACTTGTACCACTGCTTGAGTGCCCTAAGCCACTCCAGGATCCACTCCCCCACCTTCCCGCCTTCAGGACACTCCAGGGTCCACCCCCTTTGCCTTCAGGGGATCCCTTATCCTGCCTTTCTAATGCAAGAGCCTTGGCCATCCAGCCATAGATATCAGCACTGAGCCGCTGGGAGGGGAGATCCTGCAGTGTCTCCTCCTCCTCCCACAGCTCGAGGAGGGACAGGATCTCTGCCCTGGACCAGGAGAGCGCATGCCATTTGGTGCCCCAGGCAGGGCCCTGTGAGCCCTAGTGGTGTCCTCTGTGAGGGTCAGCGGAGTTTCAGGAGGTTTGTGGTTGAGCCAAGGGTCCAAAAGTGGGTGGCAGTCAGAGCCATGTGGTGAGGTGCAGCTCCCAGGCCCAGCTTCCTGCCACAAGGCTTGTCCTGGTGCCTGCAGCCTTAAGAGCTGGCAGGAGACAGGAACTATAAAGTCCTTATTAGTTTGGACAGAGTGGCCACCAGGGCACCTGTGTTATTTCCCGGAGGTCTCTTCTTTCGAAAAAACTCCCTCTTCTGCGTCCACACACGCCTTTTTCCAAAAAAACTTTTTCGGAAAAAGGCTTCTTCCTCATAGAAAGAGGAAGAATCCTTCCGTTCTTCTGACTTTCTGTTGAAAGAACGCAATAGCAGTGTGGACGCAAGTATTGTTTTTCCGGGAAAATGGCCGTTTTCCGGGAAAACGCTGCAGTGCAGACATACCCTAAATCTGACATCACATGCTATACGAAGTGAGGGATAAGCCATAGGTGAACAGCTCCAGAAGAACAGGCAGATTTCAGTTTGATAACACAATCATTTGGGCAGCCAAGGCTTTGGATGAAACAGGATAGCTTTAAAAGACAACTATATCATAATTTAAAAGAGGTATTTGCTGAATGATCCACAAGGGAATAACACAAATATCCAAAAGGTAACCCACCTTTTAGACAGTCAAAAGTCCTGCTATTTCTTCATGGCATCCTGAAGATGGTATTCTGAACTATGGTCCACAGCAGAAAATTTGCATAGGAAATTGATCCTGTATCTACAAATTTACCAAGAAAAAGACTAGCTAAAACAATTATTAGCTTACCAATTCTATTTAAATTACTGGTGCTATTGCATATTAAGAATCAGTTCCCACTTGCAGTAAAGATAATAATTAAAACAAACTGACCTCTGAATTTCCCTAATTAAAATCAACCATAGCAGAAGATAAAATTTAATGGTGTAACAAGGTGGCTATGTAAGCAGTAGTGAGGAAACAAACAGGCAATCATGAGAGAACATCTAAAACAAACCACTCAAAAGAAGCTGTGATGTTGATGGTCAGATGTTGAGAGCAGATAAGAAAGAATTTTGGACCTCTGAACCCCTTGCTCCAGTCATCTGAAGAAGTGGGTTGTACCCACGAAAGCGCATGATATCATCTACATTTTTTTGTTAGTCTCTAAAGGTTTGTCTACACTGCCACTCTAGTTCGAACTACGGTGGCTAATGTAGGCATTCGAAGTTGCAAATGAAGCCCGGGATTTAAATATCCCAGGCTTCATTTGCATCTTGCCGGGCGCCGCCATTTTTAAATCCCCCTTAGTGCGGACTCCGCGGGCATGGACTACCTACTCCATGCCATGTGTAGCCACGGGCACGGAGTCCGCACTAAGGGGGATTTAAAAATGGCGGCGCCCGGCAAGATGCAAATGAAGCCTGGGATATTTAAATCCCGGGCTTCATTTGCAACTTCGAATGCCTACATTAACCACCCTAGTTCGAACTAGAGTGGCAGTGTAGACATACCCTAAGGTGCTGTAGGACCATTTGTTGGTTTTTTTTTTTTAAGTTTTCTTCAGTTACAAACTAACATGGCTACCCCGTAAGACTTTTACCCATACCATGTGAGCAACAAAACCATCATGTGGGGAAAATTTCCAACACAGACGGTCTTTCTATAGATTAGCAGATAGGGACATTTGTTATTGGAGGGACTGGGTTCTAAAGTATAAAACCAACTTCCCTGCCTCTGCCATAGTGGGCCTGGGACACACTGGGAATGTTACAGTATAGCTAATATCAGTACAGAATGCTTTTAAATCACTGAGGCAAATGATAGTGTCTTTTAAATACAGACACTCCTAAACTGGGACCATGACATTGACTTTCTGCTAACTTGTTGTACTTTTTATTCTTTATTTATAATTAATAATGAAGCTTTCTTGAGAAATACAAGTTTAAAAAAGGAATGGAAAGGCCCCTTAATAATGTGATTTCCAAGTGAGATGAATTATATAAAGCCAGGATTTTTTTTTGAGATGTGTGAAAATAAATGACCAATACGACTTGTCTAATATGAGGAACTGGTGCTATAAAAAAAAGAGAGCCCAGTATTTAAGGCTCAGAATTAGAAGTCAGGAGATCTGGGTTCTGTTTCTGGCTTTTCTATAGACACTAGATGACAAGACAAATAATGCAACTTTTCCATGTATCAGTTTTCCAACTGTAAAATGAGTTAATTTTCTGCCTCATGAGGGTGTATGCAGCATACCACATTAGTTCAAAATGCAAACTACAGAGATAGGTGCCATAGAAAGGCCATTTCTTTAATTCACATAGTAAAAATTGACTTGTTGCTATTCACAGAAACACAGTGCAATCTCCTGCTACCATACAAAAATGTATTTTGATGGATAATGTATGCAACAATATGCTGGAGAATATGCTGAAAGTGGGATGGGGATATTAACACACTTGTAGAAACATTCCTCCTTCAAGAAAATTGTTAAACATACCTGCTACTTAGTGCAATGTGGTGCATTTCAAAGACAAAAAACTTAAATTGCACTTAAGAAGCAATTCTTGACTTTTCTGGATGGGAAGCACCCAAATATGTTACTCAGTTATATCACGAGCTAGTGATAACAGTCTCTTTCTGAATGCTTCAAGAGGTAGCCAAGTTAGTCTGTCGGTGTATGTCTACACTACAGCATTATTTTGAAATAGCTTATTTCGAAATAACGTGTCTAGAAACAAAATGCAATTTGAAGTAGCAAAATGCTATTTCGAAATAGCGCGTCCGCACTGATAGGATGCTGAATCGCATTAAAGGCCGGCCAGAACTGGTTCTGGCAGGGCATCAGGTCAGTAGTTAGCCTTAGGCAGCAGCCACACAAGGAATCTGAGGCCTGTGCTTAAAGGGACCCCTACCTCCCCCCGGACAGCTGGTTCCCTGCTTGCTTGCATACCTCGCTGAGGGACAGCAAAGCATTTTTTTCTCTGTGTGCTCTGGTTGCCCTCACTCAGGACATCACAGCACTCTGCAGCATGGAGCTGGAGCAGCCACTGGGCACTCTGGTGCTTCTCCTGGACATGTTGCTGCGAGCCTGGCAGCACATTGTACAGGCAGTAACAGTCTCCCTGGTGTGCCCCACTGGGGGATTGTGCCTCATTCCTCCCTCACGTCCTTCCATTTACCCGTCCCTAACCCACCTTCCTGCTGTACAATAAAAGACACGTGTTCATTACGACGAAGCCTCTTTATTGAACAAAACAGGGATGGAGAGAAAGAAGGTGGGAGGGGGGAGGATGGAAGGTGGGACGGGGAGGGGGAAACCTGGGAGGAGGGAGCTGGCAGGGGGAGGCAAGGGGAGGAAGGAGGAGGAAAGCTCAGGGCTCAGGGTTAGAGGTCTCACCAGTCCAACTGTCTCCCAGCACCACGGTGCGGGGTTCTCGGCATCCCTGGCGGTGTGGGGAGGGTGTGGAGGAATGAACATAATATGTGAGATATGAGAGCTGAAACCAAGGGATAGGAAATAAGATATGAGTTAAGATATGTGTGTCAGAGAAAGAAAAAGGGAGGGGGGATGAGAGACAGAGCATCCAAGTGGTATCCTTCCTGTTTTAGGAATCTATCTATTGACTTTGATTTTTATCTGCTTAGGTTTAAGTACCCATTCTCCAGATACTTAATGATGCTCTGTCTCCCACCCCCTTCCCTTTTATTTTCTCTTCCCCCTCCCCTTCCCTCTCCTATTTATTTCGAGTTTTCATATCCCCAACTCATAACTCTGGTCATCTAAAGAAGTGGGCTGTTACTACGAAAGCTCATGATACAATCTACATGTTTCGTTAGTCTATAAAGTGCTACCAGACCATTTGTTATATGGTTATGGAGTATCTGGAAAGGGTAGGGATGAACACACTTTACCAGAGTAAAGGAAATCCTCCCTGATGCACCATTTTAATATGAATACCAGTTACATTGTCATTGCTCTCAAGATGTTTCTTTGCTACCTCAGAGCGAACTCACATTTAGTGAAGGACCAGCTGGAGGATGACTAAGGAGTTCTGAAAACACTTTCCTTCTGCATCACCTTTGTTAAAGGTTCTCTATTTTCAATATTTACAGAGGGGGAAAGCTTTCAAATTATCCAGTGGAATAAGGAGCTTCATTAACACAAGCATTCCTTCCTTATATATACTCCTGCTTCTTCTGTAACTTCCATTTCAATTCATCTGATGAAGTGGGTTTTACCCATGAAAGCTTATGCCCTAATAAATCTGTTAATCTTTAAGGTAGCACAGGACCTTAAAGTTGTTTTTGCAGATGCAGACTAACACAGCTACCCCTCTGAGGGCTAATATGAAAAAGCTATAAATGTATTTAGATCACACAGTCATTAGTGAAGGTGCCATTTTCTCTTGTGGTTTCATTAAAGGGCACTCCAATGCTGGGGCTTTTCTATCAGAAGGCAGATCATCGGTTAAGGAAAGGTCTCCATACTAGAGATTCACACTAGATCTTTGATCTCCATAATTCCAGCTTCTTTCTGTTGCTTCTCCAGTGCCATTTTTTATGCATGAAGGTGACAGCAAGAAAAGCAACAGCTGACAGAATGGTGTGAAATGGTGTAATTCAAAGTAGCAAAATTTACTTTAACAATGAAAATTATGGTTACAACTTTGCTCAGTGAAGTGGGAAAGAAGTCTGTGATTATCATTGTTCAGGGTTAGCTCTCATCTTTTACAGAAAGGGTTAATGGAATTACAGAGCTGAAAAATACTGCCTTTATATTTATATTAAATAATAAAATCCTGAACCAATTGCAATATACGCAAGTGTTGGTCAGTAAAGTTGCTCCAGAAATTTTAAAATCAATAATTTTCCATTTGGAGAAAATAAGCCTGGACATATTTTTATCTCTTTCTGTCTCTGCATTTTACTCATTCCTTAGCCTGAACTGCATTGTTGACTTGAACACATTTATTTCTCTGTGTCTGTTTCCTACTCTGAAAAATGAAAATAAGAACATGTACCCGTCTTGCTATTTTGAGATCAATGGATGTAAAAGTACAATTAGAACTGGGGCGGGGTGGGGATTCTAAAAGAGATGTTCTTTAATTCTAAAAGTTTTTTAAAATGTGGCCATGGTGATGTCATTTTGCTTTAAACACACTAAACACAACATTTTTATAATGTTGAAACATCCTCATTTCAACATTTTCTGATCGGAATGTTATGATTTTTTTTTCAAAAGGACTTCTTTAATTAAATGTTTTAAGCTTGAAAAGGTCAAATTCGTAATGAAATGTTTTGATTTTTATCAAATCAACTCATGTTGATTGACCCGAAATGTATTTTTTAAATTGTTTTGTAGGAAATTTTCAAACATTTTGGTTTCGATTGATCTCAGATGGAAAAAAATTAAAAATTGTGGAATTTCCTGTGAAATGGAAAAGGCATTTCCTGATTAGCTCTCCACAGCCAGACCCACTTACTAGTCTCCTGTATTTACCCTTAAATATTTTCTTCCTTTGTATGTTTTAAAAATAGTTTAAAATAGACTACCCACAATGTTAGCATATATATCCCATTTGACAGGCCTTAGCTTGACTGAATTTAACTAGTGCCTGATGCACTAAATCCTTCTGTTTCATAGCATAGCCAGCATGCCTACAAAGTCTTATTGTTTGGCTTTCTTTAGATTATAATAGAGCTGGCATTCAATTCCCTTCCCCCAAAGGATTTCAGTGAGACTGAAAAAAAGC